CAGTCCAAATTCAAAGTGATTGAGTGGGGCTAATACGCGGACCCCATCATCTGAAAACATGCCCAAGACGCGCCCCCATGCGCCTTGCATCACTCCCTCTCAGGCACTCGGACCTTGGATTCCTGCCTGCCCTCTCCCACGAACTCCTCTTTAGCCCAATTACCCAAATGAGCTGAAGCTAGTTTGAAAGGGGGTTGAATTGCAAATAGAGCCTATGCACAGGACAAAAGAGCACGCTGGAAATGCCCTTATGTTGGAAATCTAGGACACGAGCACGCTGGAAGTGCCCTTATGTTGGAAATCTAGGCATAGAGATAAAGCTTCAACGACCTGTTTGGTCACTCTGCCGATTTTGCCCCTGTGAGCGGGTGGGGACCCGGTGGGTGCGACCCGCAAATGGGTCGGTGTATGGAGCGAAAGAAAGAATCTGTTGGAAGTATAAAAGAAATTATTGGTTTTTGATAAGCCAATGAATGGGGATGATGATGGATTAATCTAGAAAATAATATCATTATTCAATTAGGAGTCTAACACGTGTTGGACATAAATCGATGTTCAACATGTGTTTGATCCAATCTCATGTGATATATGTATTTTTTTTTTCAATTGTGCAAACGAGTTTCTGATGCCAAGTGTATTTATTCTTCTTTAAAGCATGAGATGCTTTAAACTAAACTAAATATAAAGAGATGGACGCACTGTTCTGAGCAAATTAGGCCGAATTCGTACATGCGCACCGTCTTAACTCTCAAGTCTATTGGGAAAGTGTGTATGCATATGGATCAAACTCATGGCGCCCTATTAACTAAGTCTATTAGGAAAGTGCGTATGCATATGGATCAAACTCATGGAGCCCTATTAACTAGAGAGTCTAGACCAAACATTTATGTAAGAAGCTTGCATACCAACCTTGCCAAATTTTGATGGGAAGTTAGGGGGATAGACAATAGAATTCATAGCTATCATGGAAAAAGTAATTTGTAAAGCAAATGAAATGAGGAAATTTGGCTTTTGACATGGAAGCATTTAACAAAGTACTAAATGTTAACACTAGAGTGAAAAATTATACTGACTTTGTTTGATAGAGATAATTAGTTTGGATATGACTATTCACTATATTAAGGCGTTTTGAAGGGAGAAATAGATGACAACTTCTCTATTTTGTACAAGTTGAAGATAACTCACGAAGTCAAGTTTTTCTTTTTGATCCTACCATTTTTGTGGAAACTGGTAGGGATATTTTTCTTCATGAGAACCCTTCAACTTGCACAAAATATGAAAGTTCTCATCCATTTCTTTCTTTAAAATGCCCTTCAATGTGGTGAATAATCCTATCTAAGCTACTTTCCCCTATCAAAGGAGACCATAGTGTTCAAAAATTTCAAGTCACACCACATAGCATTACTTGTTATTCTCTAATTTGGTGGCAAGATCATTTTCAATTTCAATGTTGAAAAGTAAAGATTGTTGAATCCTATGAAATGGGTGAATTTTTCTAGGCCATAAAATAGTGTGAGTAATATTATTTAGACACATTTGTTGGAGAATATTTTTGCTCACTTATTTTGTATTGAATAAACACAAATTTCAAAATTTAAATTCATCCAATAGTAATGAGTAGGGTGGTGAGCATTACCACCACTTAAGGATGGTGTGGAAAAATGCATCCCATTTGTTGACATACTTATGTATCAGGGTTCTAAAAAGCGTTAAGCAGTAGTTGGACGGCATAGAGAAGTTTAGCACGGGCCTAAGCCTTTTTTGTTATTTTAATTAAATTTATTATAATTATAAAATATGTTTGTATGTGTAAAATTGTGGACTCTTTTTGTTGGTTTTGTATCGTTTTTTAAGCCCATAGTATTTGTTCTCATCAAATGAAAGGTTGGGCCTTGTATTTCTTAGTTTTGAAAGAGAATTGTCACATGTTCAAAAAAAAAAAAACCATGCCCAAAGCTAGCCTAAAGGCTAAAATAACGTCGCCGTCATCGATCTCTGCAACTGCAGATCTGTAACTTTATTTCTGCAACTCTCTCTCTCGTACATCTTCCATCATCGACTCCTTTTCTAGCACACCGAGAGGAAGACCGCCAGGCTTAGCGAGACAGCAAGACGACGCAATTAAAATTTCCTTCCTAGTGAGTCGTGAGTCTTGCACAATATTTTTGACCACCCCATCAGCTGCTTAGCCCGCCCAAATGGCCACCTAATGCCGCCTAACAGCCTTACTGATTTAATAAACAATTTTTGATTAATCGCGGTGGTTAATCAAAAATTTTATCCAAGGTTGAATTGAAGAAACTCCACTTACAAACAAGACACACCTTTAGCACAAACACCCGATAAAATGGAGAGGGTATTCGCCAAAGGGCCTTTAATATCTAATTTATAGAGATAGTAACAAAGAGAATTTTGAGTAGTAAGGGACGATTACCAAATTGTTGGAATTTTAGATTGATGGGCCCAGAGGCCCCATTAATACCGTTATCAACTTGTCAATTACCACTTTTCCAATTCATCAGTGTGAGGTTTTATTACAAAAAATCTTGGTATTAGTTAGAGTGAGGTAATCATATTTAAACACATTTCTTTAGCCCACTGATGTGGGATAGCTAACACAAATTCCCTGTGCAACTTGGTTAAGAATAAATGATGAGAAGTACAAAATATAATTTCAAAGTCATTAAAGGCCTCGTTTTTTTGTGTAAAATATGACTTATGTCATTTGAAGAAGTGAAAATGTTCAAATGCAAAAGTTAGTGCAAATGTTGCCAATATTTTTCTCAAAAAAGGAAGATTATAGAGAAGGGCTAACTCAATTATTGTTATCCAACAAAATTAGGCTAAATTTTTTTATCGTTCTTGTAGTGTCATGACATTTTCAAAGTCACTCTTGTGATGAAACATTGTTAACTAAACCCTCATGATGAGCTGTGTTAGTAATTGAGGTCTAAACTTCAACTTCGATTAATTTTCCGTTAAGTGCCACATGAGACTATTTGGAGAGGCTAAATTCCTCTTTCAAACCAAATAAAGAAACCAGAAAACATAGGTTGTCAGCTACTAGGGTTAAACTGAAATTGGAATTGACTTGACCAAAAAAAGGCTTGAAACTTGATCGACAAGGATGGGAGTGTGGCTGGCGATGGATCCGGCGAAACTATGACATCCCATGGCAACAAATGTAGCAGCTCCCGCGGCGGCATCCTTAGCGAACACGAGAGTGAGAATGATTCGTTAGGTGTCACAACCCCTTGGTGGTATTTGTTTTGGCAAGAGATAAAGGCTTCCCTCCCTCCCTCCCTCCCTCCTCCCCACTTTCCCATCCCCCATTCCACTTCCCCCATCTTCCCGGTAAAGTACCTAGTGGTTGCATGGTTTTCCTCCTTTTTTTTTTTTTTTTTTATGTCCTAATATTTGCATGGTTTGCTCCATCAATCCCTTGCTCTTTGGTACGTATGTAATTAAAACAGCCTTCAAATTTTGAATCACTTGTGTGGCTTTTAGTTTTGGTGTTGGGCCTGGAGATATTAGTTCTAAATGTCTTATCCAACGACTAATTTCGTCTCTCCATGTGAGATTCACATGAGTTTATTTAACAAGAGACTACGAAAGTATAGATTTGGATCACAATTGCTGATGAGGTTCACCACGATAGTTTAGTTAACTACTTTTTCATAACGAGGGTAACATTGAAAATGTCGTGACACCATAGGAAACACAAAAAAGATTTGGCAAAAAAATTAGAGATAAACAAAAGTTAAACAATCTACAAAGTTCGGGACTCTAATTAGTGAGCCTCCTATCATTGAAGAAAAAAAAAAAAACTAATTGACCCATACGCATAGATGAATAGTTAAAAATAAAGGCTAAAGTTTAAGTTTTTTGCCTCTATATTGAAGATGGTGTTAGGAAACACTGCTTAAGTATCTTTCGTATGAAACACAATAAGAATATAACTGCTTAAGAACAAAAGTATTCTCTAGATAAATAACCCCAAACAAACCTAATTGATTAACAAAAAATATGAATTTCCAACCATTGTATTATTATACATTTTGTGGATCATGTTCTTGAGACACACTGAAAAATCTCTCCAAATGATCAAACCTTATTAGAGTACAATCTTTGTCTCGGAATGCTACTTAATCTACGTTTATTGCATATCGTTTATTATAATGGTAATCAATCAATACCTCATTGGACACTATTCTTGCATGATTGTTAATCAACGACTGCGGAAAAATGGTGAATCATTTAATTTTATATATTAAATTGAGATTATTTGGAAAATATTGTAGTATGCATGATATATATTTTGATATTAATATTATAAAAAGGATCCCAAGAAAAACAAATTAAATTGATCACAAGAAAAAGAAAAAAAAAATTCCAAAAGAAAAAGCTGCTAATATTGTGATATTAATTATAATATATATGTGATTGTATAAATCATCAACATATTGTATTTAGGATTATACTTTGAAGTTTGTCTTACTTGCAAGACAAGTAAATGCGCTATAATTATTATAAATGAAAACATAAATAATAAAAAAATCCTCCACATAAATTTCTCAATCCTTCTTCTTATCTCTACTGCTGGCCTTCAGTAAAATAAATAGGCTATAACACCCAATTATAAGTGGTATTTCTCTTAACTTGTAAGTGAAAGATCTAAGTTCGATTTTCGTCAGATGCGAGTTTGAACCATATTATTGTTAGGTCATTATGAGACTAAACCCACATCTTCCCCTAATGTAGAACTATAAATGATATTGGTTTTTTATAAAATAAAATTTAAAAAAAAAAAAAAACACCCAATTATACTTTATAATAATTTGGAACATTCCTTCCGCAAAAAGGTTTAGGTTAAACCCTCTATATATATTGCAATCATTGTACAGAAATTTAATCCAAAATTCAAAACCCCAAAACGTCCAACAGCTGACTTACACCACTCTCCCTCTCTACATTCCCTCTCTACATTCAAAAGCGAGACAATGTTCGGAGATCAATCTTCGTCGTCCCCATACGTGACGCCTTCGTCGACCGCAGCCTTCGGGCCGCCGTCTTCAACCCCAGCCTTGGGAACGCCGCCGTCAACCCCAGCCATGGGAACGCCGTCTGGTAACTCAGCCTTCAGGCCGCCGTCGTCGACCCCAGCCTTCGATCCGCCATCTTGGAACCCAGGCTTCGGGCAGTCGTCTTGGAACCCAGCCTTGGGGCCGCCGTCTTGGAACCCAGCCTTCGGACCACCGTCTTGGAACCCAGCCTTCAGGCCGCCTTCGTCGACCCCAAACTTGGGGACGCCGTCTTGGAACCCAGCCTTCGGGCAGCCGTCTTGGAACCCCTCCTTCGTCACTCCTTGGACCCCGGCCTTTGTAACTCCGTCGACGTTTCAGCAGCAGACGCCGTTGTTTAACTTCCAGCAGCCTCATTCTCCTGGCGCCTTTGAATTTGAATTTGAATTTGAGAGTTATAGGCCGTTGTTTGAAGAGCCGACACCCTTCCCTGACTTTGATTTGATGACGGAGATTGATCACGTTTCTCTCGCCTTCTCTATCCCCTGTCGCAACATCCCCTTCTCTCTCCCCAATCGCGATATTAAAGTAAGTTTCCCTTTTGTTATTGATTGTTCTCCAGTACAAAACCCTAACCCTAGCTTTCAATTTTCCTTTTGATTTTGAATTCTAATTTTTGAAATTTTGAATACTATGCCCCTTACTATTTACGTTTCGATTTGAACTCTTGGTTCAAAAAATTGCATGCCCTTTTCACCTATATATATGGTCTATCAGTTGTTTATCCATATGGGATTTAGGGTTTCTCAATGTTAAGTTAATTATTCTTGTGTTTGAATTCCTTGTAACTTTTTGTTTGTTTCTTTCTCAGTCGACCAAAGAATCCATCAGCAACCTAACCGATGTGTCTCTAAAAATTACTAAGCATCTACTCACCACTGAAGGCAAAGACAAAAACATGGTGTATTCGCCGCTGTCCATTCAGATCGTCATGTGGCTGTTAACGGCCGGGTCAAAGGGTCCCACAAAGGGGCAGTTGCTCTCTTTCCTTAAGTCTAAGTCCGTCGACGAACTCAACTCCCTCGCAACCCATCTTGTTCCTCTGGTCTTCGCAGATGGATCCCCTAGAGGCGGTCCCTGCCTATCATTTGCCAATGGCCTTTGGGTTAAGGAGTCTCTCTCCATCAAACCTTCTTTCAAAGAGGTTGTGGACACTTCTTACAAGGCAGATATAAATCATGTTAGTTTCCAAAACCCTGAAAAAGTGAGACTTGAAGTGAATTTATGGGCAGAAAAGGCAACGAAAGGCCTTATCACTGAGGCTCTTCCTCCTGGGTTAGTTGACAAGAAAACCATTCTTATATTTTCAAATGCCTTATACTTCAAAGGCCTTTGGAGCAACAAGTTCAATGCATCAAATACAAGAGAGGATTTTTTCCGCCTTCTCAACGGTCATTATGTTAAGGCACAGTTCATGAGAAGCTACGAGGCCCAGTTTGTAGAAGCCTTTGACGGCTTCAAAGTTGCAAAGCTCCCTTACAAACAAGGCGAAGACAAGGAGAGGCAGTTTTCTATGTACTTTTTACTTCCACATGCAAGAAACGGGCTGCCAGCTTTGGTTGAAAGAGTTTGTTCCGAGCCTGGTTTCGTAGATCGTCATCGCCCAGCAAGACAAGTCCCAGTTGGTGCCTTCAAAATCCCCAGGTTTAAGATTACCTCTGGCTTTAAAGCTTCCGATATTCTCCAGGATTTAGGACTGGTGTTGCCATTCACTGATGGTTTGACAGAGATGGTGGAGTCAGATATAATTAAGGGAAAGATATTTCATATATCCTTCATCGAAGTTGAAGAAGAAGGCACAAAAGCTGCAGCTGTTTCTACTTTTGTCGGTTGTTCAGGTGCATCGGCTAGACCGATTGTACCGATTAAAAAGATAGACTTCGTGGCTGATCACCCATTCCTCTTTTTTATTAGAGAGGAGAGGACTGGAACGGTTATGTTTATTGGTCAAGTGCTCAATCCTCTTAAAGAATGATTTTATCATAGATAGGGTCAGAAAATCTCTCTTGTTCTATCTCTCTTTTAGGTTTGATTATCCCTTAGATTTAGATTTGGTAGTTTTGCTCTTTTTTTGAACGGAAACAACTAGTGCTCTATATGTTATATAATTTGGATGTATGATTGCGGTTGGGATGATTACTAATTTTTATTCATTAGTTTTCTTTGGAGCAGTATTTTTACATTTGAGGAATTCAGTGATTGCTTTGTGTTTCTCAGAAAATTATTGATTTTTGATAAGCAATGAACAAACACGATGATGAGATAAACTGTGATCTAAATGGTATAATATTCAATATTAGGAGTAATAAAGGGACAGTGATCCCTCGACAAGTTGATCCAATCTCTTCTCTCTTCTCGTTTGTGTTTTTTTTTTATTATATTTAATTGTAAAAACGAAAGTATTTCTCTGAACTCTCTCAAGTCCTCATCTAAATGAAAACAAAATTTCGTATATTTCGTATATCCCTACGGCTGAACCCCCTCCCCCGCGGCGAAAGGTCTTTTAGTACCTTTTTGAGTTCTTCATTTAACCCAAGTGAGGATTGTTAAGCACAAAAAACCTTTTTTTCACGGTCTTTGATATTCTCCTTTTTCTTTGTCCACCCTTACTCTTTTGTTCTTCATTTTTTTTTTTTTCAAAAAAATTTAAAACTGTAAATGCCTCACAAGCTGTGAGGGATGGTTGCCGAGATGCGAGAGACAGTCGCAAGAGTCTGACCAAAAGAATGTGGATGTTAATAAAACGAGTTTAGTTTTAATTTAAAACTTGGCATAGATAAAAATGTCAGTGAACTGAAATAAAAGGTGTTGTGAATCTTAACCGATAACTAATAATTTTTTTAAGGACCAACCACCACACAAAATTTTGTTTATACACATACTTCATACGTACTAAAAAAAAGTTGCTTCATGACTGGTGTTGCCTTTCAATGGTGGTAATTTAACCGAGATGGTGGAGTCATCACCAGCAGATGCCACAATGTATCATAAATCGAAGGCACAGAAGTTGCAACTGTTTCTAGTCATGTAGTTGTTTGTTTCGATTCTGGTGGTCCGATTTCTCGCAAAAAGACAGATTTTGTGGCTGATCGCCCATTCATGTTTTTGATCAAAGAGGAAATGACTGAAACGGTTTGTTCATTGGTCACGTTCTCAATCCGCTCGAAAAATGATTTATCATTAGGGCAACTCTCTTTTTAATCTGTTTTTCTAGATGCTATTGGAGTAGAAGCCTGTCTTCGAATTTTCTTAGTACTACGGTCTAGTGGTATTCTTCTTAACTTATAAAAGAGAGGTCTTAGGTTCGAAGGTTCGATTCTCCCTAAAGACGAATTTGAACCACATTATTGCTAGCTCATTGTGAGGCTAAGTCCCCTCCCTTTTATTGTGGATAATATGTTTGTTCAAGAAACTGTAATCAATATAGGATTCCATCCGGAAAAAAAGATTACTTAGTTTAACCTAAAGAATAAAACCAAAATTCTACCCCGCTTTTTTTGTTGTGTGTGGATATTTATCCCTTAGTTTTATTGAGCTTTTATTAGTTTAATTTGCTTCTTTTAATAATTCCTATTTTTTAGGAAACATGGTGGTTAGTGTTTGACCCAACTATTGTACAGAAAATTAAACCAAAGTCTACCCCGTTTTGATCAGAGGATTGGGTTCAAAACCCTAGCTAGTGTGGCTGGCAAAACGTTGAAAAGATGAGCTACACCATTTTACACCAAGTGTTATATAAGTCGAGATAAGTTTTATATTTTAAGTTGTTAATTTTTTAACACAAATATCTCATCATTTATATAGTGACACTGAAAAATCTCTCTCCCCATCACCACACAAAATTTTGTTTATTTGTAATTATTTACATACACCAAGTGAGATTGCCGGATAGAGTCGAAGACTAAGACACCAAAACAATTGAGGTGTGTATAACGCTTTGTATTAATTTGATGCAAGTTGTAAATGTATTTCATTTGAGGTGTTATTAAAAAAAGGGCGCTATACAAAATAATTGCTTTCAAAAGTGCTTTCACAGCCAAAAACGCTTTTTGTAGAAAAACTTAAATTTTTAATAACAATCCCAAAAATGTTTATACTAAAAACAATTAGACCATAAACATAAAGTAATGTTATTTATACTATATTTCTGTACCACATTTTCATATCACCTTTGGTGGCATCTGATGTGGACAACCACATCATTTGAAAAATTTGCAAAACCCAAGGAAAGGAAGAAGAAAGACTCATTGCAAAGCCCAAGGAAAGGAAGAAGAAAGACTCATCGTATACCACAATCATCATTTAATTAACTAGTTTTTCTTAATTATTAGTTTATTAAATAATTAACTAAATTAAAAATTTTGATTAATTCAAATGATGTGGTTGTCCACATCAAATGCCACATTAAATGGTATGAAAATGAAGTACAAAAATATGGTATGAATAACATTACTTTTTTTTTTATTAAAACGAAAATTCTACCCCCTTCCACAATAAAAAGTTCGCTTAAACGCCTCTCGCTTCCCCACCCCCTTCCAAATCTACTTTAAAACCAGCGTGGCTGCCAAAATTGTTTCGTACAACATGTTGAGTAGTCTTTTCATTATTCTTCCTTCAAAACCCTAGCTCTGTATTCTTCGAAATTAAGAACCATACTATTTAGGTTTTGATTCCAAATATTGCATGCCGCTTTCACCACTGGGCAGTTAGTTGTTTCTATATATGGGATTTAGGGTTTAGGGTTTAGGGTTTAATGTATGTTAAATCTGTTTTCCCTAAACTATACAGGGGTCAACCCAATGTTGGTTTAATTGTTCTTATTATATAATATTCTGGATGATAATAATTAAATTTTTGTAGCACTTTTGACTGTTGGAGTTTAGAATTAAGCATTGGTAATTCACTTGGGGTTTTTGAATATCTATGATTTCTGGTTGATTTCTAAACCCTATTATTTGTGTTTAATTTCCTTGCAACTGGAGGTTGCTTGTTTGTTTGTACGTATCTCAGTCGACCAAAGAATCCATCAGCAACCTAACGATGTCTCTCTCAAAATTACTAAGCAACTGCTCACCACTGACGGCAAAGACAAGAACATGGTGTATTCGCTGCTGTCCATTCAGGTCGTCCTGTGGCTGTTTACGGCTGGGTCAAAGGGTCCCACAAAGGAGCAGTTGCTCTCTTTCCTCAAGCCAAGTCCGTCGACGAACTCAACTCCCTCGCCTCCCATCTTGTCCCTCTGCTCTTTGCAAATGGATCCATTAGAGGCGGTCCCTGCCTGAACTTTGCCAATGGCCTCTGGGTTGAGGAATCTGTCTCCATCAAACCTTCTGTCAAAGAGGTTGTGGAACTGTTCGCAAGGCGGCTATAAAACAAGTTAATTTCCATACCAACCCTGAAGAAGCGAGAGCTGAAGTAAACTCATGGGCTAAAAAGGCGACGCAGGGCCTTATCAAAGATGTTCTTGGTCCTGGGACAGTTAACAACAAAACCACGCTTATAGCTGCAAATGCAATATACTTCAAAGGAGTGTGGAGCGACCAGTTTGATGCGTCGGAGACAGAAGAGTGTCGCTTCTACCTTCTCGATGGTACTTTTGTTAAGGCACCATTAATGAGAAGCTACGGGGACCGGTTTGTAAAAGTCTTTGATGGCTTCAAAGTCTTGAAGCTTCCTTACGAACAAGGCAAAGACGAGAAGCGGCAGTTTGCAATGCACTTATTACTTCCCGATGCAAGGGATGGGCTCCCAGCTTTGGTCGAAAGGGTTTGTTCCCAGCATGATTTCTTAGATTGCCATCGCCCCGAACCACTAGTCCCAGTTCGTTTGTTCAAAATGCCAAGGTTTAAGATCACCTCTGGCTTTGAAGCTTCCGTTATTCTCAAGGATTTAGGACTGGTGTTGCCTTTTAGTGATGATGGTGAACTGACAGAGATGGTGGAGTCACCCCGAGGTAAGGCCAGACTTATCCATAAGTCCTTCATTGAAGTTGATGAAGAAGGCACAAAAGCTGCAGCTGTAACTGTTGATGACATAGCTAGGATTTTCTCTACAGGATGAACCGATTAAAATGATGGACTTTGTGACTGATCACCCATTCCTGTTTTTCATCAGAGAGAAATGACTGAAACGGTTCTATTCATCGGTCACGTGCTCAATCCGCTTGAAGGAGATGAGTACAAATATATAACTCTGTTGGTTTATTTCTACATGCTATAGTTTATCCCTTAGACTTAAATCTGGTAGTATTCTATATGTTTTCCTTTCCTCTATGTTTTTCAACTATTTACGTTGTGGGATGATTGCGTTTAAAGATGGTTTTTATTTCTTTCAAGCAATATTTTAACAATTGAGGTTCAATGATTGTCTTGTGTTTCGAAGTTAATCAAAATTCCTCTAATTCGTTCCCTCTTTTTTCTTCCTTTCTTTTTGGTGTTTGAGGTTCAGTGATTGTTTCCATGACGAGTCGATTCAATCTCTGTTGAAATATTAATGTAAAATTGTAAGGCTTTTATGAGAAAGCTTTCAAAAGAAGTGGGCAAAGCCAATGATGCTTTGGACCATAGGCTGCACGGAAGAGGATCCTCTCCGGATTCACTTTGTGGGAATCCTAAGGATCCTCACAACCTAACCATTCATCGAATATCGCGCAGTCAATTTTCGTCGGGTACTATATATTTGTGTTTAATTTTAAATAAGAAAAGTCAAATGATTTCTAACCGTATGATGCACGATGAATGACTAAGATGCGAGGATCTTTAGAATCTCCACAATTTGAATCCAGATGAGATCCCGCACACAAAGGCTGAGAGCCGTGTACAATGAATAGGGTTGGAAGACATATGTTCATGATATGCATTGTCTATGTAGCTTAGTGCGAAGTGCTTGCTTGTAAAGATCTCCAAGAAATATCTTCAAAATACCTCTCTACATAAAACTCAAAAGAGGCATCGAGAGAACAGTCTAAAAGTGTGTGCAGTAAGGGTGTCAACTCGCGCAAGTCTAATAGGAAAATCCGACTATAATATTATCATTTTTGTGAACATAATGTTACTTGAATGGTGTTGATCGTGTACACATTTTATTTATGACTCGTACGGATTTCAAATTGCGTAACTTATCGTGTCCGGATTGGCATTGGGCGTTTCAATTTTACCAAACCCGAACCCGAGAAAAAAATTCAAGAAAAAAAAGAAAAAGAAAAGAAAATTAAAGGCCCAAATCGTCGATAAAGAGTCGAGACTCTGCCACGCACAGCTCTTCTCAGTCCCAACGAGAATGGCAACGGCCTTCTCATTTGCGCAGACCACTCTCTTCTCCAAAACCTCACCTTCTCTCCGCGCAGCTTGCCTCAGAAGCTTCACTTTCTGCCTGCCTTTCTCTTCTTCCTCTGCAGCTCTTTCCTCCGATAGGCTTCGCAGCAAGAAATGGAGGCAGCCGGTGGCTTCGGTGCTCGAGCTGGGCGGCGTCAAGATTGCTAAAGATGGTAACTTTAACCATTTCCCTCATCTGGGTTGCTCTTGTTTTTGATATTTTTGCTGTTTTTCCGTATTGGGTTTGAGTGGTGATGAGATTTTTGTACTTGGCTTGCATTTCTACAACCTGAAACTTTGAATTTCTTCATTCCGTAAGTTGTAGTTTTCTGTGAAACTGTTATATTTGAATTGGTTTTACGTTTTTACAACTTGGGTTCGCCCTTTTATTTTGTTATTCATTAAGGCTGCAGTATATTTTGTTCGGTATGCCATTGGTTGGTTGAAAAATTTTGCATTTTGTTTCGTATACTTGTTAGAATGGTCTCTCACATAAAGTCGTTGCACTCTGGAATACTTGTTTCCGATTCAAGTACATTCCATTCCAATGTTGGATGGCTTAAGTCTAACAAATTTTTGGAAGAATGTTAGAACTCTCATCATATGTTGCTTTTGATGCTGTGTCGGATATGTACAAATGGAAAGTTGCCGACTTGGTTTTCTGAAAGATTTGTTATTTGCATAATAATTTTGGATTATGCGTTTGTAGATGTGCTGAGGGATGACCCCACAAACAATGTTCCGGATACAATTTTCGCAAAGCTTGGACTCCAACTCCACAGAAGAGATCAGCACCCACTTGGGATTTTGAAGAATGCAATATACGAGTATTTTGACACCAATTACTCGAATCAGTTCGATAAGTTTGATAATCTCAGTCCAATTGTGTCTGTGAAAGAGGTATGACCTTGATTTTATTAAAAATTGGGCCATGAAATACGCCAAATGAAGGGATAAAGAATCTTTAGCTTCCAGTGTTTATCATTTCGTATCTACTATGTTTGTGGATTGTTAACCTCATTGATGATGTCATGCATTTTTCATAAGAGAAGAATTGTAGATGTGCGTTATTGCAATGCTCTTTTATCCTTGTAAGATTGTAAGAACCTATGACTTACTTCTTGACAGTGAATAAAATTTTCAATTCTTTCAGAATTTTGACGATGTTTTGGTTCCTGCTGATCATGTGAGTCGAAGTTATAATGATACATACTATATTGACTCTCAAACCGTTTTGAGGTGTCATACAAGTGCTCATCAGGCCGAAATATTGAGAAGAGGATATACTCACTTCCTTGTAACAGGAGATGTGTACCGTAGGGATTCCATTGACTCAACTCATTACCCTGTGTTCCATCAGGTTTCTTAACTCTAATGCTTACAATAAGACTTCAATGCTGCTTAGCTTCTTGGGATTCTGCCTTATGTAATGAATTTATTTCCTGCCCATATAGATGGAAGGTGTTCGTGTTTTTTCTCCACAAGATTGGGAGGCATCTGGGACAGATGGCACATCTTATGCTGCTGGAGATTTAAAGAAATGTCTAGAGGGTTTGGCACGCCACTTATTTGGTAAAATCTATCTTGAACCACTGTGCTTGGTATCTCATAGACAAGTTATAATTTGGTTTGCCATTTGAGTACTTTAGTATCCAACAAATAGCAAATAGGTATATGGAGTGTTATTTGCTTTAAAAATTCTTCAATTGTTTTCTTAGTTTATTTTATTTATATATTTATAAATTATATGAATGATACAGTTGTTTTGGAACATCTAAGTTGATTAAATTGAAATTTTCAGGTTCTGTGGAAATGCGCTGGGTTGATACATATTTCCCATTTACCAACCCATCATTTGAACTTGAGATATTTTTTCAGGTATACTACTGACTATGATCATTTTGGGGGCACAAAATAACATACCGTGTTTGTTTTGGATTGTGAATCTACTTCATGCTATTTCTGATATATGTATGTATAATTGTATATATATATAATATGGATACTTCCAATTTTGGAACTCTACTTCTGCCTGTATAACTTGTTTTATCTACTGCCTGGGATATCTAGGAATTCTAGAGTGGAAGTAGGTGTTTACGCTAGATTTAAACTTGATGCCTCTCCTAGATTACATGTAGGTCCCTTGAGACCCTTAGAAACCAAAACACAAGGAGTTGAATGCATGTAGATGAAAAAGTAATAGAACTTTTTCTTTCTGGTTACGAAAAAGTATAACTTATCAAAAATATATCCATGCAACTCCCAGGAGATACTTTCTATTCTGACTGTTTCTATTGCTCATTATTACTGTTCATATTCAACTAGTGCTTTTGATATGCTTTGAACTGGGACACTTGTTGATATTTAAATCTCATGTTGAACTAGTGGCCATTGATATAAGGTGTGGTTCTTAAATGTTAAGGAAAGTTTTCTGTTGTTACAGTTCATGCTTTGAAACCGCTTGTCATTTCTTTTGAATTGATGCTTGGATGCATGAATATTTTTAGCATTAAATCAATTTTATAAGCTGATGTTGAATACAATACCAGGAAAAATGGTTGGAAGTTTTGGGTTGTGGGGTGACAGAACAAGAAATATTGAGGAGAAGTGGCAAAACAGACAACGTTGCTTGGGCTTTCGGACTTGGATTGGAACGGCTGGCAATGGTTTTATTTGACATCCCTGATATTCGGCTTTTCTGGTCAACTGATGAGAGATTCACTTCTCAGGTGGTTCCTGAGTCTGTTAAATATGATTTTTTTTTTCTCTTTCCTCCCTTTTTTTTAAAGATATATTCCATTAGCTCGATTTTAAGACTTACAAGTGAAATAAGCAAGTATTAAAGTCCTTGTCATTTCTAATCCAGTATCTGATTGTCCAATTTTGGATTTGGATATAGTTTTCAAGTGGCCAGCTGGGAGTCAAATTCAAGCCATTTTCCAAGGTAATGTTGCAACTCACACAGTGGAAATTACCATGTTTTTTATTTTTTATTTTTTTCATGTCCTGGTCACTTATTATTGTGTAAAATTAAGATAAAGTTTAGTGAGATCTTTGACCTCCCTCCCTCCCTCCTTCATGTGTTTAGAGCTTGGGCTGCCCCTTTGTTATATCTTGTAAATCAAAAGATAGAAAGCAAAAATTGAATCATGAAAAAGGAAAAAACAAATAAATGATCTTACAGCAGTTGCTTCTTAAGATCTTGGTAGTTATGGATCTAACTATTAATTTGAGGGTAAATTACTGCTTGCTAGCATTTCTTATAAAGTTTCTTTCTTTTCGTTTCAGTATCCTCCTTGTTACAAAGATGTCAGTTTTTGGATAAATGAGTCTTTCACCGAAAACAATCTATGTGAAGTTGTTAGAGAAGTAGCTGGAGATCTTGCAGAGGAGGTATGCCTGTTTTCACTCAAACTTTCTGGAGGTGTGTAGACGTTGAACATTATGGTTGAAGGGATACATTGATGTTTATTGGAAATGAAAAGCAGCTCTAACTTGACGTCTTCAGTGCAGCTAGTTTTCTGAAATGATTTTCTCCTGAAGTGGCTTAAAATTGGAAGATTCGAAAGTTAAATTATAATCCCCACACTTAAACTGCTATATTAATTAACGATACCAACCTTACTAAATTGGTTCGGTGGAATAATTCCTACATCTGGAAAGTTATTTGTAATCCGAATGTGGAAGTTTTACAAAAATCTCTTCTATGATTACCACTGTGTGATATTTGTCCATCAAATATTTCGCCCCAACATAGTCTGGAGTCTGAAGAAGTGATTTCTAATACCTGACAGTATATTGGAAGCGGGGTTATGCAGTTTTCTGAAATAGCTATTCCATGATTGCCAGGTACAATTGATAGACAATTTCACAAACAAGAAAGGAATGACCAGCCACTGCTACAGAATCACATATCGATCCATGGAACGCTCGCTCACAGATGATGAAATTAATAAGTTGCAGGCAAGTCCTATAACGAGAGATGATGTAATCATATCTTTCCTTCATAGGAGCATTCACACTTCCATAACTGTTTCAAATGTGTATGCCACACCTCCATAACTGTTTCGATTCTGTATGCAGTGGAATGTGAGAGAGTTGGTGCAGAGCAAGTTGAACGTCGTTCTAAGATGAGAGGTCTCGGTGCGGTAGCCTATTTTGGCAATCATGATTTATAGGTGTTGAATTTTTACCTACATTGTAAAATTGTTCCCTTTTTTTCAGCTGCCTGTGAATACAGATTTTTAAGCCTGCCTTGGCAAGAGATAAAGAGATCAACCTTCCAAGAATTCAAGGGGGAGACGTTGAAAATAATTTTTTTTTTACTGGAAAAAGAAAGGTTGTAGTATCGAAAATGGTTTTGGCAAGCAAACGTATTATTTCAGCTGCGGTAATTTGTTTCAGGGAGATGCAAAGGCCCGTTTTCTCTTCATGCACACTGTTATTTATTTCCGACCTTTTGGTTGAGTAAATCAAAGGTGAATCAGGGACCACCACTCAAGATATACGCTTTTGGTGTTTTACAGGCAGTGACACGAACTTTATGCAAATGGGCTTTGCTTATATCCAAACGGGACCCCTAGTTCAACCTATGGTATCCCCAAATTTGGTTCCTCTATGCACAAGCTTCTGGAGCTCACATCTAGTTCGTTACAGATTTTGTGTGATCTGTAAACTGGTTTGTTCGCATCCTCCTGCGAATGAAAGAGCAAACTCGCAAGGAATTGAACACAACATCTTATATGTAAAGATAAACGTTCTTAATCACTCAACTTACAAATTTTCGGAAAATAAAAAGGAAGCTGTATTAAGAGAAATACAAACATTAGTTGAAGAATACAATGCTAATATTCTTAATGCAGGAAAGTAAACACAGTAATGAATTCTGCGTACTTCTTTTGTTTGCACATTCTTACCTCTTTAATCTTCTTTGCTTTAATCTATCCAAATGTTGTACACAAACAAAAGAGTGCACAATTACGAGAAGAATGTAATTCTGTTGAACAAAGTAAAAAATTCTATATCGGTCATCTTATAAAACAATCACAAATAATACTAAATGGTTGCACTTTTAATTGCATCAAAACTTTGGCATAAAAATCCCGTGCTTATTGATTACATGAATAATTCAGTTAAAACAATATCGATGTAATTAACGATGGAACGTCATTCTATAAACTTCAACAAATCTTGTATAAAATGTATACCATTTTTGCCGACGATGTGTTATTGTGTTGCCATGAGCCAGAAGGTAATCGTTCAGGATGGCAACAGGTCAAGGGGGAAGACAGACGTAGAGTGCTATGAGTCATACAATTAGGACAATGATAGCCTCTCGAATATCTGATGTCAGGTCCCTTTCCACCTCCACCCTTGTCTACCCTCTTCTCAAGGACCAAGTAACGTAGGAGGCAGGATGCCCAGCTCATTCGAATGAGGATCCTCCCCGATCCTCTTTGTGAGATTATTATCATGTTCGTTCATCGTACATTGTACAGTCAGTTTTTGTGTTCATGTTTAATTTTAAATAAAAATATTTAAAATGATTTTTAACAACACGCCACAATGAACGTGCATGATTTGAGGACCTTCAAAATCCTCACAAAGAGGATCCAAAGAGGACTTTCACAAAGAAGATCCGAAGAGGATTCACATTCAGCTCATTCAACATTTTCCCCCAAATTTTGTTTAAGGAACACGGTCCACACATTTAGAGGATTAAGCACAAAGGTCCTCTCCCTATCTGAGTATCCATTTCCCATAGCTATGTGTTCTCTACATTATCTTCAAGGCTTCAACTGTGTTTGTGGTGTATACAACTAGCTAGAAAGAATTTGTTTTTTATCATTTTGGGTTCTTCTCTTTCAATCCGTATTAAATGCTGAAATGAATAAACACATTGACAAATAAAATCTTACGATAAGACGATATATACAAAAAGATATATTTAATCAATTGAAAAAAAACATATTCGTTACTAAGCTGGCGTGTCGTGATGAAGAAATGAGACATAAAATGATATACAATTATTTAGAAGTCAAATTCTCTCATTTCTCACACAAGTTGAATAAATATAATGTTGTAACATGATTAAAATATAAAAAATATACTTTTTGTAAAAGCTACGTTACGAAGAACATAATCGGAGTCGTACACAAGGTTCTTATCTTGAAGGGCGGAGCAATCATTTCCATTCACACTGTTAATATTAACATCAAATCATAGTTGTCTCGGAATGAAAATAAATGATTAATTATACAAAAATATTATTTATTATCATAAACGTCAATTTAAAAAACTACTGGCATATCTCGGAATGAAAAGTGCTTTTCCTCCAATCAGTGAGAAAGTATTAGAGAAAGTCCAGCGGTGGCCCAATCCGCAGACAATTGCATTAAATTGCCCTTGACCCAAAAAATATGAGGGTCCAACCGGTGCAAAATTGGGACCTGGATTGTCTGCTCTTCTAATCTTTACTTATTTCTGTGATCACAGTTAAGGTTATCTCCAACCGAGGGCTAGTCAGATAGCTCATTTTAGCCTTATGGTCCTCTAATAAATTAATATTTTAACGAATAGTACATGGCCATATTTGCTTCCGTTTCCAACCGAGGGCCAAAGGGTCATAGGGCCAAACATAATTTATTATTTAAAAACTACAACTTAAATTCAAATTCAACAGCTAAGTGACATCAGCTAGCCGTTGCATTTGAATGTTGTATAATGGCTTAGGAGGTTATAGGAAAAAAATATAATTTAAAAAAAATATGAAACAAATTTTGTAAAATAAAAATTACAGGAAAAAAAATATAATTTAAAAAAAATGAAAAAAAATTTGTGAAATAAAAGTTATAGGATAAAAATATAATTTAAAATAAAATAAAACAAATTTTGTGAAATAGAAGTTATAAGAAAAAATCGAATTTAAAAAAAATATGAAACAAATTTTGTAAAATAAAAGTTATAGGAAAAAAATAGAATTTAAAAAAAATGAAAAATAGAAGTTATAGGAAAAATTTTGTAAATAAAAAATAATAATAAAACTGTAAAAGAAAAAAAAATTTCAAATGCAACGGCTAGCTGACGTCAGCTAGCCGTTGCATTTGAATTTTTTTTCTTAAGTATTCATGTCGGTTATAACCAACAGGAAAGATGATTTTTCTGACCAATCCTCTAGCCTTCTCCAATTCTGTGGGGCCCTTTCAGATTCCACAGCCCTCTGGCCTACCCCTCGGTTGGAGATGGTTTTCGGGCTATTTTCTACCCTCTGGACCCTTCGGTTGGAGATGGCCTAAGCTACGTCAATATTTTATATTCTCATTGCTTTTTTGTCTTATTATAAAATGTTGATGTGGCTTAATCGTGACCACATAATATAGGAGGAGATGGGAAAGGTATAGGATGGGGAGGGCAGACAAGCCAAGTCCGCAAAATTGGGCAGGCAATTGGTGGGCAGGCAATTGGTGGTCTCCGGGAAGCCTGTTGGAATGCCCTTGCAACAATTGTTGGGCCTTGAGCCTGCTGATAGTAGGTGACGTCGGGCCTGACGTCAAGCAGCAGAAGGCCAGCCCTACCCACGTGCACCAAAGTGAGTCAAATGACTCCAATTTGGGAATTGAATCTTCTCCTGAACTTGGGCTCAGGAGCTTCCTAACCAATACACAAGACCCGTTAGATTTTGATCCAATGACTATAAATAGAAGGTTCTCTAAAGTTATAATAATTATAGTCGTTGGATCAAAATCCAACGGTCCTTGTGTGTTGGTCAAGAGGCTCTTGAGCACAAGTTCAAGAGAGGATCCAATTCCTCCAATTTAGGAGCACCAGTAGTTGGATTTCCAACGGTTTATTGACGAGGACCTTGGATTCCAACGGAAAAAAATCGAAAATGAAGTTGTCGTGGCTCATGTTGTTTTGTGGATCTAATTGAAAAAAACTTTAAAAATTCAATAGCTAAATCAATTCGACGATAAAAATAAATAAAATACCAAAAAAGTCCAAAAAACTTACAATGTTCACTCTTAAAAAATCTTGCAAAATTCACAACTTAATTAAACAAAAATATGAGCAGATACTAATAAAGAATAATGACACGTGACACTGCATAAATAGTTGAAAATCTTAACAAAAATTTGAGTATATATTACTAATGAATAATGACACGTAAAGCGATGAAATTGATTGAAAATCTCATTAAAAATTTAAGACAATAATGACACATGAGGATAAGCCCAAGAAAATATTAATAAATAAAAAGTATATTTGTGAGTAGTAATCGTCTTATTCTTGTCCTTCATCTTTCCAAATAGGTGAACTTTTATAAGGAAAATTAGTGTTTAAAGTGAATAATAAAGACCAATTTCATTACCTTTACCCTTGCATTCTCTTACTCTCCCAAAACGGGTGGACTTGCTCTTATCTCTGCCGCGCCTCATGCATGTGAATGAGCTGCCACATGCCCAATCCCTATCAATGCTAGCTCGCAATTAACATGAGACCTATAGTGTATAGATACACTCTACCATCTGCAGAGCGCGTTAAATCGAATATGAATTTTCACATCAGGATTCAGAAACAGCGTGGTGGCTTTGGCTTTTACAAACTCACCCAGGTCAGATGGAAGGGACGTAATAAGCCGCCGAAAGATAGACAGAGAGAGAGAGAGAGAGAGGAGAGTCAGGTGCAAGTTGTAAGGCTGACAAGTGTGCGTTCGATGTGTGATCGATGTGTTTAAAGAAATATTGTTTAATTCGACCAAAAAATAAATATTCTATTTAAACTAACCTCTGAACTCTCTCTCTCTCTCTCTCTCTCTCTCTCTGTCGTATGGATCATGCATCTGCTTCCCAAAGTCCTACATGACTCCCAACCACTAATCAGATTCTGCAGGGATCGACGGTGTCAGATGACCTCATGTCTTTGTAAACCTATCATTGTAAACTCCAACTCGTCCACGAACATGCTGTTGAGCTTGTGAGTTTTCCCCAAAACCCGGGCCATGCATTTTATTTAACTCTATTGTTAATAAGTTATTAACTCTAATCTAAATTTCCCTTCACAAATCTACTGCTTACTATTCAACTTCCTCTAGATAATTAGGGTAAACGTACAAATAATGAAAGGATGCGTGTGAAACTAGCACCAGAAACCCTTAGCATTCCAACCCTTTGTACGATACAAACGTCGAGAGGGAAAAAGAATTGGTAAATGAAATTGGAAAGTGTAGCATGCAACCCTACAAGGACAAGGATTGTCTGCCCTCCACTTCCGATGTATTTTCCATGCCTTCCTGTTTGTGTGATCACGGTTAAGCTACGTTAATATTTTATATTACTATTTATTTTTGTCTTATTATCTCTATAAAAAATAATATAAAATATTAACATAACTTAACCGTGACCAT